GGTTTTATGGCTGTGTTTGGTACATAAGACAAGACAAGAAATGATGAAACAAAACTTATTATCCCATGTTTGACGTGACATAGGACATGACAAAAACTCACTATTCCACGCTTGACATGACATAGACAAGGACAAGAACTTGAACAAGATAAAGACAAAAAGTATTTTTTTTTATTCTCCTCGTGGTCTCACTTCCTCGATCCTTCACAACTCAATTCAATCAAGATTTCTACCCCATGACGAAGCATTTGGTTATCATCTGCTAGCACTTATGTAACACCTCAAGATCACATTTGCATATAAACATATATTATCATATATCAAAAAATATAATTTATACATTCGGTCTCAATGTCTACAAGTGTTACATTACAAATTACCCAACAACTTTTTACACAAAATCTCTATACATAACTTGTAATATAACAGGTTTTCAAATACAAAAGGTAACGTGATATCCTTAAAATTCCATCCGGACAATTAATTCTTCACAATTTTCCTTTTCCTTTATTCTCTGGTTGAGTCCGACCTGTAAATCACATTTTTTCAAAAAATCAAAACAAGGGTTAGACTTTGAGGTCTAGTAAGAAAATTCCTTTTTGTTGGCTATTACAAGGTGAATAATCACCAAACGTATTGATAAACTTGTATTTGTAATAATAACAGATATATAACAATTTTCAAAATCTGAAATGAACCTCTCCCCATGTATGTATATATCTAGTTGTGCGTGTTAGTGCTTGAATAATCTCGTAGAACAATTTAAATTCATATGAAGTTATATAAAACTAAAAAAAACCATTTATATAAATATATCGAATTTATAAGAAAATGACATTAAGAGTGAAAATTCGAGATTAAATATTTACCCGTTAAGGGTTTTTAGTTTTTATGTTTCTTTTTAATGTTTTATTTAAATTTTAGATGCCGTACATAATTATTATTTATCTCCCAAATTAAATGTTTAAAAAAGTATAAAGAAATCATGCCTTGCAAAATAACACGCCATAACATTTTACAACGGAAACCAAGCGTTAGAGTGGAGCCACATGAATAACGTGACGGCAAACTGAAGTCTCAGTGATATAACACATCATAACGAGGTATTTAAAACAATGGTTTTATGTGGGTTATGTTAAAGCGAATAAAAATTATACTACTATTAGGGGTTGTTTGTTTACCTCTTAATAGTTCCATTAATAGACAACCTATGAATCGTTAAAAGATGAATCTTGTTTGGCAAGAAAAAAGTCTGTCTCTTAATGGTTCCAAAACCCTCTGAATGATTTTGTATCCTGAATCTCCCTTAACCATTAAGAGCCCTAATTTCATTGTACATAATTACCGAACAATTATATTTCATTTTACACTATATCATGAGAGCCACTTAATCATTCTGCACCAAACCATTCAATAATTACCAAATAGCCCCTTAGTTTTCTCTCTATTTCCCATACTTAAGTAAACCAACTATTTCATGATGTAAAGGGTGCTATATAGAACAAAAACTAAAGTATATGGGTCTATCTGAAAATTCCCAAATCTTTTCGGGTGTAGCCGGGTCTTACCCGTATATTTAGGAACCAATGGAACCCCGTATATCTTCCGGTCAATGAGCTTGCAGCAGTAAAAACATATGCTCGTCGTAAGATTTGGGTCTAGGGTTAGGTTACGAACACAAAACTCCTAAATCACTCTGCAAATCGCTCGTTTTCCGACTCGGTTTCTCTCATAGCAGCTCAGCGTCCCATCATCATCACAACGAAAAGGTATTATTGCTCTTTATTTTGGTTCCTTAGAGTTCCCTATCGGTTATTGAATCATCTTAATCCTATTCTACGCCATCTTTAAGTTTTACGAAGATATCTGTAAAATGGTGCTGGAATCCATCAACAATTGGAGTAAACTTCCGAAAATTAATACTAGATTGAGGGTACAGATTATTGCGAGTTTGATGCTGAACTGTTATTTTAGATAAAATTGTTTTGTGAACATGTCTTTAATCTGAAGTGGTCTAGAACGTTAAAGGAATATAATTGTGGATGTTGGAGTAAATCTTATAATTAGCCCTGTCATATGTTTAGCGATTTTAGGAGAAATTAAGAAACCATGCTTGCTTTGACAACTTCTTTTATCATGTTCTGATTGTCATTAGTTTTTTCAATCATTTGCTTTCAGGGATGAAAGCTGTCTTGTTTTAAGTCAAGTATAAACAGAAGAAACAGCTGATTTTGGGCATTCTTGGGTGGGGTATCTGTGTGGTTTAAGTTATGGAGATACCTATTAAGCCAATAGATCAACTGTTGGAGAGGGTCCTTTGCATGAATATCCTTTCATCAGACTACTTTAAAGAGCTTTACCGCTTCAAAACTTATCACGAAGTGGTTGATGAGATATACAATCAAGTGGATCACGTGGAGCCATGGATGACTGGGAATTGTCGTGGCCCTTCAACCGCGTTTTGCCTTTTATATAAGTTCTTTACCATGAAGCTTACAGTGAAACAAATGCATGGCCTGTTGAAGCACCCAGATTCTCCATATATAAGAGCGGTAAGCTCCAACATATGCTGTTTAGTACTTGTTTGATCAACAATTAAAAATGATTAATATTCCTGAAATGTTTCTTCAAGATAATTTAGTTGTGTTAGTAGACGTTGTTTTATGTTTTATTATCATCTATGGCTTTGTGGAATATATGTATTGACTTAAGTTGTTAAGCTGTTATAGCACCTGGATGTTCACATGGACAGCAATTATTCCAGTAAGCTATTAATTTTCACTTTCAATCAATAGAAAACTTTTTATAGGCATGCTGCAATAGCTTGCATCCTTAAATGGAAATACTATTTGATATGCAAGAAACACACATTCTTTTTATTTGTCTTAATGTTTCTGAAACCCCGTTTGTGTTGAATAAAAAGATTATATTTTAGAAGACCATTTGTCGGCTAGATGTTATACAATATATGCAGTATCTGGCTGCAGAACCTTGCGACATGCGTGAAAGACCTTGCCTCAGTGCCTTTGAGGGATTCCTTCTCGCTTGCTTGCTGTTTAAGCTCTTCGATCCTGTCCTGCTTTGATTCTTCGCTAACTTGTGCCCCCTTTTTTCTTTGGCGCTCGCCTGGATCGCTATCTTACTAGCAGTAGTGCTGTTTTCTATTTGAGCTTCCCTTTTTCCTTTTATCGAGCATAATGATTCGAATCGGGCTTTTTGGTAAAATTCTTTGCCGAAACAGTTCTCCCTTATCGGATGGCATTGGCGGTTAGCGTTCTTTATGGGTATTATTTGGTGCCAGTGGCCTCTTAGCTTTGTGCGCGACATCGGATGGTTGGTATCTCACCGCATAAGTGTCCCAGATGGACCGGATGGTGTAGTTTATTAGTGCTTTCCCGAGGATGTCTGTGCGTACTCTCCTGTCTTTAGTCTTTCTCGGCGTCAACCCCAAATACGRAAAAAAGAATTTGAGCATTACCCGCTCTATCTGATAGGATGACCTACTCCTTAGTTGAACCAGACTTTGCCACTCACCTTCATCTGAAAATACATCACTGACCTACAGAGTCATCAAGTCGCAAGGGCAGGCAGGTCGCTAAAAAGATAGTCAGTGCCACAGCCCAAGAAATTTCAAGAAGAACATTAAGAGAATAACACGAGATGATTGGAAACATGAGAAGTAAACAAGAAGGAAGTGGAGCATAATAGAATTTAGGAGAAAGTGAATAGCAGTACTTTTGCGAAGGTGGTTTGAAGAAGAAATGGAAGCAAAGAATGATGTAGGAGGAAGTTGAGTGAAAAGTGAAGGTTGAGATTTAATCAGATAAAGGTCTAACAGCATCTCATCATTGTCTTCTTCCTGTCTTTCTCCTTCGCCTCTTTCTTTCTTACTTTTAAAGAAGTGGTGCAAGTGTAGCTGTGCAAGGATTGTGATTTGGGATTCACTGTTTATTGCCCCAGCTATGCCCTGGCTCTAGTTTTCTGTATATAATGAGCATAACTTTCCATTTCACATTGTTGATCCCAATCCCCCATACCCATGGTCAACAATTTGAGCACAAGGTCAAAACCACTAGCATAGGACATAGGTGTACCCCTGATGAATGCTACCCCTTTCACATTGCAAGTTCATGAGCACCATTGTAGGGGTGGGAGACTGGGAGCCTTACCCAGCTTCACAGTTTTTTTCCTTATTGCAACAATTCATCACAGTTGAATGTGGTGATATGACAACCTCGCAATCCACAAAATTAAGAAAACATAAATCAGAACCCTGACACTTTACCAAGCATCATCAAAAGGAGTCCTCGAATATTACATGGAATCAAGTTCACAATATGATCCCGAGATCATAGCAATACTATAGATTTATACGGCCAAATTTCTTACAATGTGATGTTCTTCACAAAATTGTGCATTTTTAGCTTATGGAGAAAACATGCCACCTCCAAGGCTGTTTGGTTCGTAGGTTTTTTGTCTTTTACCCGTTTAATATGTTTGTGTTTTCAAACTTGTTTGAGAATGTGGGTATTTGATCAGTTAGGGGTTTGTATCTTATTTGCTAACCTATAAATGAACTTGAAGTTGGAATATTAAAGGCCATACGATAAGAAGGGTTAATCTAAAAGGTTTATTTGTAGTTGAGAATCATTTTATAGAAATGGAACTCAAAATTTTGACATCAAGGTTTGGGAAAGCTGCTGTAAGCTGACGTGACTATGACTGATTAATTGTTTTATGTATTATTTACATGGTGGTTCGGTTAAGTTTTTCACATACTTAGCTTTTAGGTTTTATATACCAGGGTTACAGAGTATTTATATGCAGGTACTGATATCCCATTTTTTTTCTGCAGGTTGGATTTCTGTACTTGAGATATGCTGCAGATCCAAAAACTTTATGGGGATGGTTTGAACCATATGTCAAGGATGACGAGGTACTTTCTTTGTTGCACGATTTCCTTTATCACTACACGTTATTGTGAAGCCGCTTGTTTGCAAGTTTGCTTAGCATCACATATCATGTTGTACACATTTGGGATGTCATATACGTCTAAGATACACATTTCTATAGAGATTAACATCCTTGAACTTTTCTCACTTGATTTGCTGCATTTGTTGTTTGATGGAATGCTATCCCAAACTTTGAGAGTTTGCCTGACATTTTATTTATTTTGGTCCAAAACTTAGACCATGCTTACAGAAAAGTGACTATATAATGTGATTTTGATTTTTCTGGTTGTATTGGTCAATGTCTAGGTGTTGGTATGTGTACGTCTTGTCCACACACTCTTCCTATGCTACATACTTGTGTTAGATTGTTTGTTTCTCTAACCATTGCATATCATCTCTTGTTGCATAGTTCCTTTCATCATTTTGATAGGGATATATGACAAGGTATTAGGTGCTGGGTTTAAGCTGTTTTGATACGATGAATGAATTTGCACACTATTGTATATGAAGATTACTACATGCAATATTCTGTCCCTTGTCTCGTCTCGTTGTCAAGGTCTAATCAGAACAAGCACTAGATGGTTCTTCACCTGACCACTCATATCAGCTCCTTCTCTCCACTTGGTTCTTACTATTATGGCAGACTGGTTTCTAAAGCTATGAACATGTCATGTTGTTGACTTGTTTCTCTCAACCTTTTGCTATGTCGCCGCATCGCAGGAGCGGTGATTTAAGTACCAGATCCAATAAACCGAAGAAGAACATATAGGAAAAGGAGTTATAAAGGTGGGATCTTCAGGTTTATACATGCGACTGTTCTGTTGTCCAGCATGAATGTACATTAGATAAATAACAAGGCAGTTTGGGGGAACTCACAATCATGATTACTATAAAATGCTAGTTTAAGGTGTATGACTTATTAATTCTTATAGAGTCAGATGCTAGCATGTCCTAAGGATGGGATTCCCCTTCTAATTTCCATTTGCTATCACAACTTGATAAATTATTGAGAAAACCTTTGTTCCCGAGTCTGGGAAGGTTGATTACACAGATACACTTCTGATAGTTGCCAGCTGATTCTTAGTGGATGTAGGCGACTCTCCTCCCAATTAAAGGAGTTGACCAACTAAGGGAGTAGTGGAGAAGAACAATGTCAGTAGCTTGAATTGTCGTAATTGAAACAAGAGTAAGATTTTTTTAATGGCTTTATGGGAAGTGCATTTTTTATTCTTATGGTTACTTATGATAAATTTCTTTATATTTTCTGGAGCATATAAGCTTAAAAGGCTAACGAAGTTATATGACTTCCCAAAGTCAAGTAGCAACTGCAGACACCAAATTGGATGTCAAGTTAAGGCTAAAGTTCCTGGAATATGGAACAGAGGGTTAGTTTAAAATTTTGAGCTTAACCACCTTGTTCGCAGTGACTGTAAGTATTAGAAAAAAGGGTAGAAGCCACCCTCTGGAGCGCCCCCACTGCACCAGTCTCACAGCCATCATGGGAGTGGTAAACCACCGAGTCAGCAGTAACTGGTTGTGCGTGGGTTTGAACCTGGGACCTCCTTTGTGGATGCCCACCATCCTACCGCTGAGGCAAGAAGTGCCGAGGCAACACATGGGAACATCCTTTGTTAACTGTATGGAGTAAATATATTTCATCATGGGGACTTCTTCGTTGGATATTGACTATGGTTACTGTAGCAGGAATGAAAGAGTGTATGTGAGTAATGATTGTACAGAGAGCAAGAGAGTATATAGTAGTCATGAACGAGGCAGGTGAACCTTATGAGGAGCAAGAGAAATGATATGGACTAAATGGAAGAATCATACTGAGATGAATTAAGGTACTGATTACAATTAACACAGAGAATTATGAGAAATCAACAACCCAAAATGGAATTTACTCAAAGAAGAACCATACTAGCATGTTTGAGAGGCTAGGCTTTCCAAAAAAGAACTCTCTATTCCCTGTGTAACCCCTAACAAAGAACCCCACTAGTATTTATAGGAGACCCAATGCTTAAGAAAAAGGAAACTGCCAAACTACCTTTACCAACAGAATTTGACAAAATTTGAAATGCTTTCTATTCATATGCTTTACTGGTCTCTTTTCTTGTTTTGCTGATGTGGCCCTCCCCTTTGGCTATATGTGAACAAAACTGGAGGCATAACACATACCTGAATCAACGATTCACTCAGCTGAAGCGACTAATTATATTATCATAGAGAAGTGTTGATGTGCTGATGATTCTGTACGAATCTGGGCAGACCGTTGGACCCAAGCACAGAATTTTCTTAACATCTAAAAACTTTTTATTAAATACTTTATATGTATGACAGCAGAGTCCAGCTTTGAGTTATCTTTAAGTAAAACCCACAAAGAAAAACCCTACGTTGACTTCTCAAACCCTTGCTAGACATCTAGTAACTGTTTGCATCTTTGCTTGTACGACTCCCTGTGGGAGTGCAAACCCCTCGCTTGTAAGCTACCGACTTTGCTTTGTAACTCATGTTTTTATTGACAAGGAAGATATAGATTGAAGGAGAGTGGGAAGATGAAGATGACAGAACCCAAATGGAGATCATTCACTTGGATATGATGATGAAAATGAGATTGAGGCTTTCCAGAAGTTTTTGAAGTGATTTTAGATCTACATGGTATGCCACATAGTTTATATAGATCTAGAACACATTAGCAGCTGCTTGAGTGGTGAGACTTATTCGTGGGTACATGGTAAAATTGAGGTCTTTTGCTGGTATATTTTAAAATCATAACAGAAGAGTGAATGGACAATACAGTTCTCTCATGATTAATGCAGGTATGATTACATGGTCTACAAATTGAATTTAGAATTTTTTTAGGTGAATGTGACTTGATTCGGTTCACAACTAATTAAGGTGGTATAAATTCTTAATTGGTTAATGATTCCTGAAATTAGCATAGTAACTTCTTCTTTGACGAATTGACACTATGGTAGCATGTGCATTTGGTAGCTTGTGTTTTTTAGCTTGCCTGGAGGATCATAAGTTAGAACAGCCCCGCTCACCGCTCATTCACACCTTTAAAAGCATAGCGTAAAGATATGATTGTTCACCTTTCATGCTTTTTGACCTGTTTTAACCTTCTAATATAGTAAATTGAAAATGGGAATTGAACTTAACTTGGTTTTCTAACTTGTTTACAACATCCAATTTTAATTTATTGAAGCAAATGAGGAACCGATGAGTACTGATTTTACTGTGTGCTCTCAAGTGCATGATAGACTCTCTTTGCCTTTTATTCTGTGTTATTAAATGATAATGTTGGATCATTTAACTATTTCTTTTCTTTTGTAATCGTTCAAGAGTTCGGGCAAATATAGCAAGGCTGTGGTGCAACTGGAAGTTTAGTTCTTTAGATCTACAAGTCCCCAGTTTGACCCGTGGCAGCTCTTTCAGCTTACATAGGTAGCATTACTTATGGTAGATGCTTACTTAACCTGGTCCTAGGAGCCTTATTTGGAGGCGGTTACTTGTTAGCGTAATTATAGATGCTTCTTACTGTGCATCGGATCCATTTGGTGCCTCATAGCACCATTAATTTCTATTGTTTTTATGAATTCAAGGGCATTTGTTTTGATGTCTGATTTATATAGTTTCTTTTGTCAGGAGTTCTCACCTGGATCTAATGGTAGGATGACAACAATGGGCGTATATGTGCGGGATTTACTCCTTGGGCAGGTCAGGTGCCAGTCATACTTTTGATCTCAATCATCTCATTTGCTCATTTCATCACTTTCACCCAACTTTTCTTACGTCATATCCTCTATTTATTTCTTTTGTTTGTCGGATTGACTTATGCAAGAATCACTGCTATGTGCAGTAACTCTATGTTCTACTCTTTGCCATGTGGTATATGCTGTCACTTCTCATGCATAGATCTGTTGCGGCTAATATCCTGCCACATGTACTAAACAACCAATAATCAGACCCTACGGATCAAGCACTTTGCTAAATGACCACAAATGATATCATATGAACTAGGGGTATTTGCTCCTATAAGATTTGTGCATCAGTCTAGACATAAACCAAGCCAAAACAACCCAGCTCAGTATCTCACACACGGAGGTGGAATCTGGGGTTGATAAGAGGTAGAGCGGCTGCTTCCGTAAAAAACCCCCAGCTTATGGAAAGTGTGTGAAAAACAGAAGCAGGAAAGCTTAAATTGTGAAAAGCTGGATATTAGTAAGCAATAGCAATACGAATAGAGGCAAGTATAAAAGTAAGTAAAACCTTACTACCGACTCACTAATCCTAACCTCTTACCTCTCGAGCTCTCTTCCTCCCATCCAGATCTCTACCCCTAGTCTGCTACCCTAGTCTTGCGTCTCCACGACCTGCTATCAGAGGTCATGTTCTTGTAAATGCCTAAAGCCGCCATGTCCAACCTCGGAAAAGCATTAGTTTAGACATGCTGACTTTATATGGAATCTATATTGGTATTAGAATCTGTTGTGGGGTTCGGTAATCTTAACCCAATGTTCTTAAGCTTCTGTGTAGAGACCCTTTCTTCTTAAAAAGGCAGACTGTGAATACGCTTTGCTATATCTGGGTGTGAGAAGAAAGATACTCTTCTTTTAGATGTATAGATTCGCTTGATAATTTTGGATTTAAGAACATTTTCTTGAACTGTTATATGTTTTGCATAAAATGCGATCTCAAAAGCCCATATTGTTCAAGTATTGTGCTAGCAATTATTCATCTGAGATGTTGCTTACATTTTTTCTTGTGTTTGATCCATTGTTTGTGGTCCTTCCACAACCCTCACAAGTAGTTCTTTTTTTGCAGTACTACTTTGACACCCTGTTTCCCCGTATTCCCGTTCCCGTAATGCGGTCAATTACAGCAAATCTCGAAAAACTGAAGCTGCCAACTAAACATTGTGGAGTAACTGGGGAATCTACTCGTGGATCAGATGACATGGCTCGTCGGCCTCCATCTGTTAAAGCGGCTCTTTCTGTTTCTTTTGGTCAACGGGCCCCTCATCGTGCATCCACAAGGGATTCCTCCCCTGTTCGTCGTACTCTCCCACCACTGCCTTCTTATGACAGAAAGGAAGGTGAAGATTCACGGAGATCTCCTACCCGCCGTCGTAGCCAAAGCCGTGATTTATCTGATCGAGATTATTCAGACAGAGAGAGGGAAAGAGGGAGGGATAGAGATAGAGAGAGAGAACGAGACCATGGAAGGGATAGAGATAGAGATAGAGATAGAGACAGGTATAGAGACAGGAGGCACGAGTACGATAGAAGGTCTCGGGACACAAGCAGACGAGACTACCACAAAGAATCAAGTTCTCGAAGGAGCAGGAGCAGAAGCAGGAGTAGGAGCAGAAGCCAAAGTGAGAGCATTCAGGCACGAAGCTTGCGGCTGGACCATCAACCAAGCCCAAACCGAGAAGAATCAAAAGACAGAACATCTGCATCTAGCAACCTAGCCAAGCTTAGAGACATGTACGGTGACTTAAGCACCGAAAAGGGTGATGCAACCGATGGTCGGGGTCCCGGTAGGAGCAATGGTGCTGAAGAGGTTATTCGGCTTGGTGGTTCTTCTTGGAGGTAAAACCTACGGACCATGTCTTCCATTGTCATCAATCTACACATACATACMTATATACATACATACATTCATGATGATTATGAATGGATGTATGTATGGTATGGTATGGTAAGGTTAAGAGAGGGTGGCATGTATAATTTACTATGAGGAGATTGATATGTGTTGCTTTCTTTGGGGTTCAATTGAGGCTTCTGTAATACTTACACAATGTATGCTGATCAAACTTTGTTACTTTCTAGTTTCTTTGAAACCATCACTACCATCTTAGGCTATTTGTTTTATCAAGGAAGAAGAAGAGGTGGTCATTATGATCCTAGCGGAATCTGGGTCTTCATCGAAACCACCTCTCTATTTTTAGAACTTATTATGGAGGACAAATTTCATCTTGATCCATGCTAAGACACACCGTCCTGCGTTTGGCATGATATGGAACACGACAAATACTTGGTGTTCCATGTTTGGCACGATATGAGACATAGACAAGGAATGAGATGATAAATTCTTGTTCCACAAAAATAAGTGGAACAAGATGGGACAAGATTGACACAAAAACTAAAATTTTATTAATCTACTCTCATTTTGTATATAACCTTAATATGATATTTGTTTTAATGATCACCATTTGTTGTTGACGCCGCCACCATCATCGGCGGCCATCGATAGCTATTGTTAATCACTGTTGGCCACCTTCACCTCCACCACTACAACAACCTCCATAACCGCCATCGGCTACCGCCCACCACCACCACTCCCAGTGTTGGCCAACTCTACCATCAGCTACCACTACCACCAATACTACCTCCACTGCATAGGCCATAATTACGTCCTCCACCACTATTGGCCGCCATTGCCACTCCTATTCACCATCTTCATGTCCTCCACAATCACTGTTGTCTACCGCCAACGCCACCCTCTACCTCCACCACCATTGTCCTTGTAACAACCTTCACCGTGCATCCACCAATTTATAAGGATTTTCCAAACCGAATAATACATAGTTTTTCCTTTGAACGAATCAAGTTTTTTTTATCAAGTACCAAAACTCTAAATTATTTGCCTAAAAAACCTTAATATATATTCTATCATTCATGTCTCACTCACTCTTTTGATTATTTCATCTGCATGATTATATGAATTCTATTTTTGTATTATAATATAGTAGATTTGTTGTCATCATCTAAGGAATCTCATACTTTTCGAAAAAAAATTACCAATCATATGAGATGATCCAACTTATATCTATTTTTAGGATTTCAAAACTATCCTTATTTTTCGTACATTATTGACTCCTTATTACTTAATATTGAGTGCATGAATCTTAAGTACTCTCCAATCTCTAAAACAAGAATAAGATTTCAAACTCTAACCAACATGGACTTTTGATTTTAAAAAAATGTTTCCAAAAAAGTTTGTTTTAACACTTAAATTTGAAAACGATGATGAAAGACATTAACATGAGTTGAGATGGAAACCTAACCAATTTATATTGATTTACACAAGTAATACTCTAAAATAGCCAACATTCTGACCGTAAATGATGTCAATCTAAATATTAAAAATATGTCATATGATGTTTTTGACAGTGAAATGGGTCGACAGTACTATGTAAAAATGATATTGTAGATATAAAAAATAATTATTGATTGATTTTGCATCTAGGAATACTCGGAAAAATAGTTTTATATGAATCACTAATATTTCTTGAATTCAATATAATTTTTTACGATTAAAACAATATATTCAAGATTATTTTTCATACCTATCAAGGACCCTTTTTTACATCTGATCTATTTTATAAAATATCAGGAATGGACCTGAATTTTATTTTTGCAATTCTTTAATTGCGAGATTGATTCCCTTATCAAGTTGTTGACCTACCAAACCCTCGTTATTTACGTTTCATCGGTTTTAATCAACTTTTATTTGTAAATCTTTGACTATATTTTCCATAATTCTTTCGAGTTGTATCCGTTTTTATATTTTTATAAAATTAATAACGTTCTTTTGAAGCTCGTGGAAAATTTTGTAACAAGTTGTAGGCCTATGGCTAGGGGTGCTTATGGGTTGAGTTGATCGGGTTGAAGACATTTGAATAACTTAACATAATGCATGCGGTTTAAAAAATCTTAACCAAACCCAACTCATGAGCACCCCTAGCCGTATTTTTCTAACATTGGATATGTTATTTCTCTACTCGTAATTTCTTTTTCATCATCAACCATTTGATACAACTTATCCATACTTCTTACGTATATCACATTCAGTTAATTTTCTCAATTTACGTATATATGTTTACAGTTACTGAACATATATACGAATGAGTTATATAGAAATGTGAATAGATTGAAAAGATGTATATATGAATAACGTACGTGATAGTGTAATTGTCTAGTCTATATATTAACAGAAATTCAACAATTATATTAAATCCAAGAAATAAATGGATATCGGGTCATCGGGTTGGGTTGGATTCAAATAATAGTAACCCAATATCAATCTAATACCTACGGTTTGAAAATTTTACAACTCGATTAGACATCAGGTTGCTTCGGATTGAATTATTTCGCGTTAGATTGAGTTGGTCAGGTTTTTAAGCACCCCTACCTATGTCCCATGTGACATATGTCCATGGTCATTTAACATCATTTCAAGGTAGTGATGGCCATCATAAATGACCGTTATAAATACATACAAATAAAAATAGGTATGCATATGTGTCCATATAACGCTTATTGGTTAAATGCTTACTGGCAAATAATGTCATCTTATTGTATAACATTTTGGCCATTAAAATTAGTTGTTGGTAAGCATCTTAAATCTGGTAAGTGCTTACTGGGTAAAAGTTTTTCCCCTCGTTTATCGGGTAAGACCCTCAGTCCTTGCTATGCATTTTACCAGATAAAATTCTCGATCCTTACCATGCTTAATCGTTAAAGGTAAGGGATATTGATAAACGTTTACCCGATAAGTGTTTAATAAACGTTACCTTATTTTAAAATAAAATTAAATAATATTAATGTAAACACATGTGTTGAATGAGATTACACTTATTTATTTCTAGGGTTGTAAACGAATGGCTCTAATGCATAGAGGTCCTACTGCCTTGTTGAACTTATGGTCCTTCAACAAGTGTTACAAAATGGGCCGATCATAACTTCTATCGTTATCTTAGATTATCTGTTTATTGTATAATCAGATAAAATGTCGGTATTGAAGACATTTAAATTCATAAATTATTTTTGATTCTTTAACTCTTACCAGTAACGTCCACATTCGTGCTATATACCAAAGAAAGCGATGTCCGCAAATATGCTACAGCCATACGTTGTCGTAGATATATAATGTTGACGTATTCGAATATACGTGGCTATTCGTTTTTGCCAGTTTTATTTTTGGAGTGAATCCAGTTTCTACTTGTTTCCACATGTTACTCAGGTTTTTAGTGAAATCTAGAACTTGCAACTTTAAGAATTAACACCAGCTGTCGAGGATAGCATCCTACCAACTGGGGACTACAGTCGGATCACCACAAATCTTAACTTATGATATTTTCGGGTTCGATATTTGTTTTCGCCCCTAATTTGGGACCACTCTTGTGCTTGTTAGGTGTGGCTAGTAATAGAAAACGCTACGAGGACGCTTGGTTTTTTGGGACATTTTGATACGTCCGATGTATTTTTAGCCGAATTCTATCGTTTTGATGATTTTTTTTTTAAGTTTTCTTGTTGATTTCAAGGGGATATTTTTAAGGTTTTTAGTTGATGTTCCTTGTATTTCTAATACCTCGAAGCACCTCTCAAAGTTTAGTAGGTGCACCTCTCGTACCCAAAAAAATTTACTTACCAAAATAAGTTGAGTAGATGTATGAAAACCATTAGAAACTTAATAGGTATGTCCCTACCTACACTTTTTGCTTATAAAAACCTCCGATTAGAAAAGATGTAAGGACTGTTTGGCAGTTGTTGAATGGTTTGGTGCAGAATGATTAAGAAGCTTTCATGATATAATGCAAAATAAAATATAATTGTCCAGTAATTGTTTACAATGGAATTAGAGTGCTGAATGGTTAAGGGAAATGCAAGATACAAGATCATAAGATGCAGATTTTTTTTTACCAAACAAGATTCAACTCTTAGCAATTCAGAGAGAGTGTATTTTTAACATCATCTATCAAACACCATACCATTAATTTTCCAATACAGATTCATAAAGCCATAGTTTGAATGATTCAACTTTTTGTTGTTCAATTATTGATGCCCTTCGAATGCTCAATCATTTTTTTTATGTTTTAATTCAAGATCACAAGTTTATTTCCTTTCATACAACTTAATTTACGTCAAAATTTTTTAAAAAACCTCATTTAGCCGAACGGCTAAATGAGGTCATTTTGGCCGATAATCGACTAAACGTACTTAACGTTAACGTTTTAGCCGGTTTAACCGTGCCAAAAGAATTCGTAAACACAACAGGAAATATAGCATCAGTCAGACCAAGATATTTCTTGTCGTCGGCGTCCGATATAAGGCCGACGTTATAGCAAGTAAGAACCGTACTACTCGAACCACATTTAAACGGGCAATACTGAATCTGGTAACTCAGCAATCCCGGCATCATGTCATCTTCCACGATCTGAAAACAGCTTTCTGGCTTGTTGAACTCGCCGCCGGTGGTCACAATTGAAACCGGAGTAAAATCTTTCTTATCATCATCATCATCATCATCATCATGTTTCTTTTTCTTATGATCTTTATGGTCCTTAAAGCGTGCATCATCATCGTCGTCGTCGTCATCCTTGGCTACGTTTACCTTCGAAACCGTCCATATGTTGGATCCATGGCAAGGGTTTTGGTCCTTCTGAACATCAGCTTCGATTGAAGTTGGGTAGGATCCGCGGACGAATTGTTCGTCGAGAATTATGGGGGTGAAGATGAAGGGAACTCCATTGTTGACCTCAAATGGCTCCTGAGTGATGTTTAATGGGCATGTGTTTTTGGTGGTTTGCGAAAGAGTGAGGCCGCCGCCGGTGCCACGGAGGAGGGGGAGGATGTAGTAGGGGAGACCTTTCAGAAGCTTGTTGCCGGCGGAGTCGTAGATTAGGTCGGAAGAGGTGGAGAGAAGTGGGAAAGTGGTGGTGATGATGAAGAGGTTGAAGAAGATGACAGAAAATGTTATCTTCATGATGATAAAAATGATTGAAATAAAAAAAAAATTACTAAATTCAATTATTTTGGTTTTTCAACGTGTTCGTGTTTGGTTACTGGTATTTATAGAAGAAGATGGTATTCTGAGTCATTAATGAGTTGTGTAAATAAGTCAGTTAGATTAATAAGTTTAATTAAGTCGTAAGTAAATAATCTTTTAAGATATTATTTAAACAAAAGCAATACTCAGACAACTGAACGTTATCATATAGTTTTATATTGGTTAAGTTTACGGATTGAAAATAAAGAGACCCTTCAGATTTTAAATGGACAAATTCAAATTTAAAATAAATTAATTAAAAATAAAAATCTAAAAATATAATAAAAGTTTTAAGAATTTATCTAATTTAAAATAAGAATTATTCGAAATTTTAAAATTATTTTCTATGTTTTATTTATATTATTTTTTAATTAATAAATTGTGTGATTTAAATTGATTATTGGCTTGTTAAAATTAACCATCTTCATTTTAAAAACTTGTTTCTAAAAATAATTAATAAAATAAAGGAAAAAGAAATGGATAAGACGAAAGTTCTTGGAAGGTTGCTCCTTCGTCCCCATTACTTACAGGCCCACCACGTGCATGTGGCATGCAGGTGGGGCCCTCCGAAACGAGAAATTATTTTGAAACTGTGATAAAATAGTATTGGAACTATCGACATATACACAATATTATCCTCAGGGAGATATATTGATTCCAAAATTTAAATTTAGAGTTGTTTGTTTATTTTTTTAATATATATTGTTAAAAAGTGAATTTTATTTGGTAAAAAAAATTCTTTTAATTGTTTTAAAATTTTTTAAATGATTTTATATCATAAGTCTTATTTAATCATTTATTGTCTTAATTTTGTCGTAGATAATTACTAAACAATTATATTTAATTTTGTATTGTATCATGAGAGTCTTTTAATCATTATGCATCCGATCATTTAGCAACTACCAAACAACTCATTAGATTTGGATTTGATAATATGATGGAACCAGGTGATGCATATTATATGTATTCATTTACTTATTTTTATCTTTATAACTAAAATTTTGACAAATTCATGTATGTGAAAGCGATTAAATGAATGTAAAAGTTAGTTATAACTGTTCAAATAAACGCTCTTGATTTAGTTGTAAGGGTTGTAAAAATGTAAAGGTTTGCATAATAATCCACCTCTAGGTAGTTTATTTTACAACCTATTTCATTTGTACAATCAATGTAACATGATCTTAATTATCAATTAGTTCATCTACAATCAACGTTGATGAAGTGGAAAAGGTAGTTACAAAATTATCAATTAAAGAAACTGAAAAAAAAAAAAAAAAATGGACGGTTTAGATCAAAGTTGTATTGACCGTACAAACAAAAAAGGTCGTATTTGAAACATATACACATACACACACATATTATAATATGGTAAGAATGAAAGTTATGGTAAGAAAAGATTTTCAACCTTGAATTAATCTTAATTGAATATCAATAATAATGAAATGCATCAGATCAATTCTCATAACGAAGCACAATTTATAAGATGAAAGTGAGATTAAAAGTGATCAAGAACCAAAATCCAGTCTTATATTTCTCACTTTAACCCATATTCTAACACAATACTTAATTTATTATAATATTTAAAATTCATTTTGTATCAAAACTTTTCGTAAATCCAAACTCTGTATGGTCGACAATACTTTCTGCCCATGCGCTTCGATAAGGTTTTCATGTTACTTGTTTCCTTTACTTACATACCTTGTTTTTCCTATTTCATTTTGGAAGTGTCACGTGATATTTATATGTATTAAAATATTATGATAAATATATTATTAAATACATAATATTAAGTTTAATATTAAAATTTTAATATCATTTTAATTTGTATATTAACATATTTGAACAAAACATGTCAGAAACACGCCGGCCGCCGGCAAAGAGACCATTACTTCATAAATGTTGACTGTTTTCCGACCGAACCCACAAACACCACCGGAAAAAGAGCATTACTTGGAGCAACACATCTCTTACCGGCGGCATCTAATTTAACTCCGACGTTGTAGCAATTAAGATCGGTGCTACTCGAACCACATTTAAATGGACAATGCTGAATCTGGTAGCTTCGCAATTCCGGCATCATGTCAACTTCTACGATCTGAAAACAGCTCTCCGGCGTGTTAAACTCGCCGCCGGTGGTAACAATTTGAAGACCAGCAACATCTCCGATATCGCTCTTTGCCGTTGACACCTTCCATATATTGGATCCGCCGCAAGGTGTTACGACGGCTGATTCAATGGAAGTCGGATAGGAGATACGAATTAGGTTTTCGTCTAAAACGATGGGGTTGAAGGTGAAAGGGATCCCGCCGTTGATCTCGAAAGGTTCCTGAGTGATGATGTTGATCATTGGGCATGATGGATCCGTGGTGTTGCCGGAAAGAATGAGTCCGCCACCGGAGCCATGGAGGAGGGGAAGTATGTAGTAAGGGATGCCCCTATGGAGGTTGTTGCCGGAGGTGTCGTATATGACGCCGGGAACGGTGGAGAGATGTGCGTGTGCGGTGGCGAAAATGATGAGATTGAAGCAAAGGAAGGTCAACTTCATCTTGATGAAAATTGCCAAAAATTGTTTAGTTATTTTGTGGACAAGTATTAACGTAATATTTTATATATGTTTGAATTTATAAAAATGATAAAATTGTTTTTTTAAGAGGTGATGAAGTCCAAATATAACCACAAGGATGATGTCTGATTGATTTGAACTTGACTCCAAAGGTCAAAAGTATCAGGAGGTCCCAGATTCAAATCCAAGTAGGAATAAAAATCTCCTTTTGGCCACGGAGGTTCAAATGCGGTGAATCTGGGTTATCTGCAAAGTATGTGGTCGCTCTGAGATTAGTCGGCTCGCATAGCAGGTTGGATATCCAAGTTAATAAAAAAAAATTCCAAATATTTAATTATTAATTTTTTAATTAAAAAAAATACAATTTATTTGATGATAATACATAAAGTTACATACTCAACATATTTTGCGAATGGCAAAATATATATGCATAAAGAATTCAGACACACTATGAAGATTGGATGGGTGTGCCAAACGAGTTCGAAAACACAACCGGAAAGATGACGTCAGTCGGAGCAAGAAATCCCTTGCCGACGGCATCTGAGACAACGCCGATGTTATAGCAACTACGACTGGTAGTACTGTTCAAACCACATTTAAAAGGGCAATGTTGAATCTGGTAGCTTTGTAATCCCGGCATCATCTTATTTTCCACGACCTGAAAACAACTTTCCGGCGTGTTCGACACCCCGCCGATGGTAACAGTTTTAGCAGTTGCTGCTCCGGTTGTCACCTTCCATATTTTAGATCCCTGGCAAGGGTCGGCGATATCGGCGTTTACGGAGACTGGGTAAGATTCACGGATGAATTCTTCGTCGAAAAGAATGGGGGTGATAATGAAGGGAACGCCATAGCTAAGCTCGAAAGGCTCCTGAGTGACGGATAATGGGCATGTGTTATTGATGCTGCCGGAAAGAGTGAGTCCGCCACCGGTGCCGCGGAGGAGGGGGAGGATGTAGTAGGGGACCCCCTTCAGGAGCTTGTTGCCGGCGGAGTCGTAGATTACGTCGACGGCAGCGGTGGAGAGATGTGAGAATGTGGTGGTGAAGACGAAGAGATTCAACAAAAGTGAAGACAATGTTATCTTCATGATTGGAAGTGGAAGAAAACTGAATTCAATGCTGAGTTTTTATTTCAAATGTTTGATGAATACATATATAGAGTATCTTTGAAAATTAAATTGTATTTTTTTTTGTTTTTCATGTACATATCATGCTTGTGTGTATGCCATACAAATTGCACATGTGCATGTGTGTATGTCAAACAAAATCGATTGTTCAAATTGTACGGAGATTTCATTCCAATTTCTACCAACCAAACGTATAATCAAATTTCATTCTAATTCCTTTAAATTCAAATTTTATGATGGATTCCAATTACTTCAAATATCATTATGTGAACCAAACACCCCCTTAAAATACCATTGTTGCATATATGATACTGTTTTGATGTACCTACAATCTTATCCGAAAAAAATAAATTATAATATTGATTTCTACCGGTAAGCATTTACCGAGTAAGCATTTGGGTAAACGACCCCTAATAAAATGTCTTTTAAAAAGTATCTTTCAAAACATAAATTGGATGCAAGTATTTTCTTCCTGATACGTATTTTTTTTGCGTTAATTAAGAAAAAAGTTGTTACACTAAATAGAAACTAAATCAAACTTTGTTATATTTTTTCCTCTTCAGTATGCAAAAGATGAAATTAATTTCTTTTTGTTAGAGTAGTTTTGAAAAATATAAACAAACACCTTAACTTTTGACCTAGATGAAAAGAGAGGTTCAAAATAGGGACTAAAGGGCCAATAAGTGAAAGAGGTGGACACAATTGAATCATTTGGAAGACACATTGATCGGGTTTCTGGGCCAACTTACATACACCAACTAATTTTTCAGGAGACCCGCGATCACGAATGATCTGTAGTCATCACAAATGGACCTCCATGGCCATAAGGGTTTTGGTTTCGAACTCAGGATTAATAACATTTTCCACTACATTGTCTCGAGGCTTAACCAATGTGGCAGAAACCAAGTGGCTAAGATACATTCGATGGAGACATGTGATTCATGGATACATGAGATGCACAAACATTTTACAGGGGATAAGTATAACCGGTATTGATGATCAAATGGAATAAATTCTATGTAAACTTCGTGTTTTAATTTGGTTAGTAGCATATGATGTCATGTTTGAGTTTGAAACGATAATTAATGGAATGAAAAGTTAAGAAGGCTTTAAAGCTATCAATTTGATTAGAATCGAGATTTTATACATAACCGAAGAATGATTAGTGAATACAAGCTTGAATTAATGCATGTTTACGTGTACCAAGAACTCAAGAAGTATATATGATTGTTAGAGTCGTTACAAACAAAAGAATTAATGAGTTAAATTGGTGATTACATTGTCTAAAACAGCCAAAATAAACGAATACATCATACTGGTTGACTTTTGAAATGCCAAAATCTTACTTGTGAGTCACGCAGGAAACACAATGACCAAGTCGTGTCTGGAGTCACTTAAGGCAACAAAGAGCGAGTTGTGTACGGCAAGTTTCTTGAGGTCGCCACAGTAAGATGACATTGATGGTCACACAAACCTGCTATTAGGCAGTGCAACCATATTACAATGACAAATTAAGTATACGTAAGTGTTTAGTGACATATCTGAACATTTAACATGGATGTTATGACATGTGTAGGCGTTAATTCAAGACAGATTAGCAACACTATACAAGCAGATGGATTTCATATAATTTACGGAATTATGATACATAGCAATGTGTTAGTGCAACCTCGGGGGGGATTCTTGACATAATGCATAAACATAAAAGTTTGAGATAAAAGAGAAACAAGTATGTAATAATAATTTCCAACACAAGTCAAATATTAGTATATAAGGAATCGTTTACTAAACAGTTATCGGGTAATTGTTTACTCGCAAGAGTCACGACTCTTATTTACTTTATTGGGTAATATTTTCAGTCATGAAAATGGATTAATGGTATACGTTTATAATAAGACTCTTGATCCTTGTTTTCCCTCTTACCGAGTAAGGTTCTCAACCCTTGTTATGTTCACTCGATAAAGTAATTGAATCGATAAGTACTTACCAAAGTAAGTGTTTAGTAAACGACCCATAAGTCTTGTATGGATTAATCCGTCAGTATAGATAATGAAGATTTTGTTTGGAAGGGTTTTCATAGATGAAATGAACGTGTTTTTTAATTGAAAGGACATGTTAGGAAAAAAACATGTCTTTCTGTATAAAGCACTCCTTAAAAACTTATTGAATAAACCACTATGACATCGCTATTTAGCAGACTTCTTTTTAACACAAGGGACACATTTCGATCAAAAGGTTGCATGTTTTAGTTTGATTTTAATTTCAAAATCAAATCGTTAAGATCACATATTTTTATAGAGAACAATTTTTTTTCACCTTGTTGATCCGCGGTTTGAGAGGATATCTTGTGCATATTGCTTTGTAGTACCTTTCATATTGTGTTATTCAGGTTAGATTTGACAGATATTTTAACTGAAAAAATAGTTGTTGTTAATATTTAAGAGTATTTTTAATAAATTCTTTATAATTTTTTTAAATCAAAAATTAAAAATTAAAAATCAAAAAATTTAAAAAGTTTACACAACAACTTACTTTTTAAAGATCTTAGCGTCTATTATATTATTATAGAATCATATAAATAACACAGATATAAAAAAATTTATATAAAATAATGATAATTCAATCTTATTGATGGACGTAAATAAAAATTTAGGGGTCGTTTACTAAACGTTTACTTGGTAATACCGAATAAATTTTCTTATCGGATGAACATGACAGGGGCCAATAATCTAACCGGGTAAGAGCGATGAGAAGGATGGAAACTCTTACCCGGTAAGTGAATATTACGACTCTTACCCAGGTAAACGCTTACCCAGTAAATTGTTGCATTCAATACGTTTTGATGTACTAAAATCTTACTCATCAAAACGAATTATAGTGTTTGATTCCTATAAGTAAACACTTACAGGATAAGCATTTAGGTAAATAGCCCTTTAATCTCTATCTATACATCAAATTTTAGAAAATTTTCTAAATTTAAAGTTTTATCTTGATTTTCTCTGTAGAACATCTGTTTATGCAAAATAAATAAAAAATAAAAACCTTATTTTTTCTATTAAAAACTATATTAAAATAATTGATAAACTAATCATACTTGATAAAAAAAAAAAATAGCTAACGAAATTGTCTTTTTAAACGACAAATTTATGTAATTCTGGAAGATATTTTGTACGAACGAATCTTTTTTATTTAGACAATAGAGAAAAGCGAGACCAATAATTCATTTTGTTCCTTATGAATAATGTGGTCTCGTTTTTGTTGGGTTTTGGGAGCACGTGACGATAATGAAAAGATAACAAAACGTGCGTAACCATTTATTATCGATAAATATCCATTCCAGGCCCCTCAACATATATATTTATTCTTTCCAAATATCATTAGAAAATAAAATAAACTTGTAAACGTAACCAACGGTCGGATCTCCGCCGACCACCGCCATGGCAGCTACCGCTGCCACCCCGATTCTCGTCATCCTCCAGGCTGAGGCTCCGGTGCACTACTTGGTGCTATCGGCTCACCAAACATTCCTTCCGACAAATGACATAAATCAGTATTCAGTAACAAACTAACAGTACAGGTTAATTATAAATATCAGAATATGGTTGACTCACCGCATAAGAGGAGGTTTTCCGGTGGAGCGTTTTCTTTGGCGGGGTTCGGATCGTCATCATGAACCCGAATATAAAGTTCTTCACCTAAATACCAATTTTTCAAATGTTGTGATCTCAAGTTCCACATTCCCGGGTTGTCGAGGAAGACGTAGACCGCGGTCCACCCTTTTGGGTACACTTGGATGGTGGAGCGGACCACCGGATCATACAAGTTGTATGTACCTCGTGATCCCGTGGTCCATTCTCCGTCACCAAACCTGGAAAACAAAATGTAAACATGAATTGCTTAAGGAAACAAATCAAGAAAGCGTTGGTATTAATAAAACAAAAACAAAATAAAATTCGAGCCTTTGACCTCATCTTTGATGAGATTGAACCTTTGACCTTCGGAAAGGTTGGCATCTACTCGCAACCCCTCGATACAACTTGGTCATTGGTAATAGTTATAAAGTTTTGTTGTAATGCAAGTTTCACTTACCCGACAACGTAAAATCCATAGCCGTCTAGATGCCAAGAATCCATTGATGTTTGATCATTTTGAAAGACAATCTCGTGCCACCCTTTGTGAGTCGCGTCCACGACGGAAACGCCAAGAGTCGCGGTTTCTTTTACGGACCGGATCGGGAAATCACCTAACTGATACACTCCGGACCCGTTAACATAAAAATCGGCAAGTTTCAACGGCGTCTCTGGAACGAGATACGAAACATTGTTGACTGCATAGCGGTACAAGCCACTAATGTTTGCTTCCGATCCGTGAAGAATTATAGTCTCTGATAAGGTGACATTCGAGACGTTAAATGTACCTTGTGGGTTAGGCCGAGCAGCACCTGCGGTCAAATTCCATCTGATTCAAGAATCGGATCCGTTAAAGTCCCACATCGGCTGGACATTTTCTCTTCGATATATGCGGAACCCCTTTTCTTCTCGAGAGTTCTTTTGTAGAGTAGTCTAATAGGGGTTCCACATATTCTCACAGAGTCATCGTTAATTCAAAGATCGGTGATTAAAAGATCATGAATAGTTCTTTCCATACCTGATCGATCTTGCTTGGTTCACCGAAAACTCGATGTCCCATGGATCGGGACCAATGGGGAGAGAACCACCAACGGATGAGCCCGAATTAGCGTAATGCAGTACTCCTTTAGCCACAAGAGGGCTGTCGTCAGTGGCATTCAGCAGCTTAGGAGTGGCGGCAATGTAGTAATCAGTGTCGTCTTGATCTGCGGTAACTAGAACCGAATACGACTGCCCAACATGCACGTCGAGCGAGTCCAATATGATCTGGTTAGTGTACGAGCCTTCGGTTTCGACTAAAACCATCTTATGTTTCTCAATCCTGAAGTTGAAACTCAACGTGGTTCCGACATTCGATATTCTAAACCTATACGTTTTCCCTGAATATTGAGAGCACAACTCGTTAACCGTTTGAGAATGTTCGATAGGATCATCCATAACCGAGCTTAGAAAGTACCTTTCGTAACATTGAACGACTCATGGTTTATTGACTTCGAGTATCCATAAGGAGCTTTTCCGTTCATCAAGATCATATCGGGGACATCAACGGAAACTCCAAGCCCTGGCCTAACGACCTTTTTAATTCACGAAAAATTGAAATCAAATGTACCCAACACTATTCGAAAAAGTTCCTTATAATAAGATATGTTTATAAGACAGCACAAATATTGTAGCATTTTTATATATGACGTATAATTGTTTGGTTCTATAAACGTAAATCTTATACAAAAAACAATCTATCAGGATATTTAAACATATTTGGCATTGTAATCCGATATATTTTGTTGTAGTGATGGTAACAAGTTGAGCATTCTAATAAATTTGATGGTTAGTTGTACCTTATAATCAGTAAGAAACCAGTCACCAATGAGAAGATCAAACTCGGCTTCGGGTTTTGGGAACGGAACGTTGATGACGATACGATTGTTAACCCGAATAGGTCCGAACCCTCCCGTAAGCTTTTGATAGTTGATAGAAGGGAAATAACTGAAAGAGCCAATCTGGTCTTTTACTACAAATGCATAAGTCCAATTGGTGCCGGGTTGGATCGCGCAATTAGTCCCCGAAACTCCATCTTGCCACGAGTTAAGCCTCTGCTGTATACCATTCCTACATACAAATCATCACCAACACGTTAAACCAAATGAACCGCGTACCTCCATGCCGGAGGTGGGGTCCGAATGCAAAAAAGGTATAGATGTCCAAGTAGACTGCTTTATAGGACTTAATTTTATCATGTATACCATACCAAGTGAAAAGAACAGGTTCGTCCAACTTGTTGAAGACGTTCACTTTAACAATATCATTCGTTGTGGCATTGATAAGAGGTCCCGGGAACATATTGTTAATGGTTATAACCTGTAACAAACACACAAACCCCATCAAAGCATGCACAGATCAAACGAACGAAAGCAACTGTAAGTTTATGTACCTGTTGAGCCAAGGATGAGGTCCATAGCGTATAATCACTAGCAACGACCCATCGTAGATCGATGACATCAGCACCCGTTCTAGCCACTAAAACCATGAAAACTGCCACCATGGACCATATCCAGCGGTTGAGAGGATCCATTATGAGACTCCAAGGAACAAAAGTGACCTCCAAGAGCTATGTAACAAAGTTGTAAGCATGCCGGCATAATGGTTATCGAAGATCAACAGAAACCGACTTTGTTTTCAACAATTTAGTTGACACAGTCTCGTGGCATCCGAGAAACCAACTGTTTTTCGTCATTTTATATCTGTCAAAACACTAAAAACAATGTTCGATATAACAATCTATTCCGTCATCTGTCTTCTATTGTCGTCTAACTGAAAGCTGCATCTACAAAGATGAGAAAAGATTTGACAAATTCAAGCAAAAAGCCATACAATTTCACCAGTTTTGACTTTTAAGGTCATTTCTTTTTTACTTTTCAACTTCAAAATCGATATGAATTCTTCGAATTTTATCTATGAATTTGGTATCTTTGTTAAATTAAATGAAATACTACGGCCCCAAAAGTTTTTGGTATCAAGTCTATTGCAAAAAAAATTACAAATTTCTATAAAGAAAATCAAAAGTTTGACCTAAAAAGTCAACCTTTATAGAAGATTGAACATATTCAATCAAATACTGAACTTTGACTTTGGGTCAAACTAACAACTTTTCAAAATCAATATGAATTCTTGAACTTTTCATCAAGAATTCTATAACCACATTACTCTATTATAACTTGGAAATCATTGGTATGAAATCTGCATTTAAAGAAATAATGTCAAACAGGAAGGGTAAAATCGTAATATACATCATTCAGACAGTTTATTCAGCACAACAGACAAACAACAATTTAGCTTTATAGATAGCTTAATGGAAAAACAACTGAATAGCTGATAATTCATGTGAGAAAGCAAATCTGATATACTTAAAGAAGTTGTATTACAAAAAAGGATGCTAAAACAAAACTATTTACTTCCATCCCATAACGGGTTACCATTCGTTCAAAATGAACCCTAACGACACCATATATCTTGGTGAAAACCCTTCAACAAATAAACAACAAAACTATACCTATGTGATTTATAAGCTACTAACTCTCAACTCCCCTTCTTTTCAAGTTCAAGAAAAGGGTTCACGACAGATGTTTACAGGATCGAATCACCATCTTACTTGTGTAGAATGCAAGAGCAGGGTTGACCATCTCGAGTCAAAAGCGTTTTTGGATAAACAACGGCTTTCGGTTACGAGCAGCAGTTGTCGCTTCTTTTTTTCAAGGAGAGTTGTTTCTGCTTCAAGATTTGTCTCTTCACTACTACCGATCCCTGCTCCAATAGACCAGGTTTATCCAGTATCTGCACAATTTCAAGATCAGTTACAACCAATTAATGCATATCGAAATGCAATCAAGTTTCGTTTAATTCTTATTATTGTAACGAAGAATCTTTTTCCTCGATCGACATAACAAAGTTTCAGATTTTTCTATTTTGTCGTACCCATTTTGATAGTAACCTTCGGATCTTAAAACATTTGATGACGTGGGTCCCTGTTTATGAAAGGTTTACAACAAAGTTGAAGACAAAGTTGGCATCCACGTCATCAAATGTTACAAGTTCAGTAGGTTACCGGTCAAAATGGGTAACATTAACTAAGAAAATAAATTTCTTTGTTACACCAAATAGGAAGCAAAGAAAATATGATGATCAAGAAAATATGGATGCACCTTTACGGTGAGATCTTTAAAGCATTGTTGTACGTTTGCTCTGGTTCTAGCGCTACATTCGTAAAATAAACAATCGTGCTTCTTTGCAAGCGCCATTCCCTCTTCAACCGTTACAGCCCTTTCAACGTCCTGAAATTTGTCATCAAGTTCACGGGTTACTTTGATCGGTCTGTCTTTAAAGGGTGCGTTTGGTACATTGGAAATGACAAAAAAGAACAGGGATCACTGTTACACGTTTGGCATGATTTTTATATGGAACGGAGTGGAACAACGTGTTCCACCCCCACCCCATGCAACAAGGTGTCAAGTGGGAACAAACCTATATTTTACCAATATACCTTCAAAATAGAACTTAATTCTCTTCTAAAATATCAAATACGCCTCTCTTTACATTTTTATCCATTCTTTAAATATTATTTGTTGTCTTTTATCCTCTTTTAAGAGGATCTCCAACTTCTCTAAAAAGAATTACATTCATCTCCAACAGATTCTCTATTTTACAGATTTTAACATAAATAACATTCTAAGTTATCATCACAATACACTTTTTTCTAAAAACTTTTTATAAAAAATAATAACTCAATCTCATTGGTGGAATTGAATAAAATAATCATTTCTCTCTCCCACCGTCAAGTTTTAGAGAACTATTTGAAGTTTTCTCCATGATTCTCTATTTTAGAGAACAAGATTGCAACTCCGTTAGAGCATTTCAGAGAACAAAAACTCACTTTTTTTCTATTTTAAAGAAGCTGTTGGAGATGCTCTAGACTTTCGTTCTCAAGATATCATTTTTATATGGTTTCTATATTTTGATTAGTTTATGTAATTTATTAAATATTAGTAATAAATTAATAAGGGGCGCAACCTTAGAGGTGCTTCTGACTTACCCTATCAACCTTGTTTCCAACTAGGATCTTGACACAATCAGGGTGTGTGGAGTAGAGCTCGACTTCTCGTGCCCACACTTCCGATAAGTTGGTAAAAGTTTCTCGTCGTGTAACATCATAAACTGAAAACGATAAATATACGGCCATGATCACTCATCCATCATTGTATAATGGTAAAAAAGTGAGATCAGGTTAGTGAAGTACCGAGCATGATACCATGTGCACCTCTGTAGTATGAACTTGTCAGTGTACCGAACCTCTCCTGTCCGGCTGCATCAGTAAAATCGTTTCACCAATTAGACCACACAAACGGAAAAAAAAACAATCACAAACTGTTCAATTACTAGCAATAATAGCTGAAGAGGACCTGGTCGTTAAAAGTATTTATTTGTTCATAAAAATGTCCGGGGACTTGATCGTTCAAAGTATGAAAGCCCATTCGGGTTTTTCGGATTTTTCCCATGATTTTACCACAATAACCGGTTTACAAGGTCATTTTTGTAAGTCAAAAGAACCATTTTGTTCCATTTCAGCGAGTGTCGGGGTTTATTTGTTCAAAGAAAATGTCCAAGGACTTAATCGCTCAAAATAAGAAAACCCATTCAGGTTTTCGGATTTTTCCCATGATTTTACCACAATAACTGGTTTCCAAGGTCATTTCCGTAAGTGTAGGGATTTATTAATTCAAAAATTGTTCAGAGAATTAATTGCTCAAAATATGAAAGCCCATTTGAGTTTTTCGGATTTTTCCCATTATTTTACCACAATAACCAGTCTCCAAGGTCATTTATATTTTATAGTTCATTTTGTTCGATTTCAGAAAGTGTAGGGGTTTATTTGTTCAAAAAATATTATCCAAGGACTTTATCGCTCAAAATATGAAAGCCCCTTGGATTCTTTTTCGGAATTTGTTCCATCTAAAACGATTAATGTGAACATATATAGTTACAAAAATGAGCAGCAAGATTCATCGATGCAAAATTACCTGTATCCCAGATTGTCAGTTTGAGTCGTTTTCCATCGATTGTAAGCATCTTCATCTTGAAATCCACACCTGGAAATGGCAGAAACAAACCGAAATGTCTAAGTCGGTTATCACAAGGATAACAAGCTAACAACATATAATAAATACGCTGATTCTCGACCAAAAACAACACCATAAAAACCAAAGATAAACCAATATTCAAGGATTTACATAGTTGGAGGCATAGTATCAAACACCATATGTGCACGAGCACGACTAATATTCGTGGCACTCTGCAGCAAGATCACGTAAACTCGTCGCTTATGTAATCAATAAACACGAAAATGTCATCCATGAAGATGCAAATCATTGAACCCACGAATCAAATCAAGAACAAATCAACCAGACAACATGAATTTTGTTAAACATGTGTAGCGGAATCTCATAAACCCTAATTTAGGGCACAATTTATGAGTTATCAAATAATAAAAAACCAAGGTTATACCATTTCCCACATGCAGAAACTAATTCTTTATTTGGTAAACAAAATGTTGGAACTTGATTGAATCAAATCACATGACTAAAAGAACACGGTTTCCTTTTTAAGCAGTCAATAATTCAAGAACAGAGAAATGAAAACTATATAACTTCAAGATTCTTTTTTAATTGATTTTAAATCAAAAGATAAGATTTAAGTCTTAAATTTCCAAATTTCAGAACTTGGGTTTGTCAGTGAACTTGGGTAGCGAAGAAACCAAGAAAATGCATACATCCAACAATTATACACAGTGGGTAGTGAAGAAAAATCCAACAGGATAATACAAATACTGGGTAGTGCATAAATCCAATAAAAAGCTTTGTTGGAGTGACTAAAATCCAATAAAACCAAAAACTATATATATTGGATGGTAAAAAATATATACATATATATCTACAGCGTTTTCTTTGAAGTTTCAAGTGCAAAAAAATGTCTCACAGTCTCTAGAAAACAGATCGGTCTCACGAAAACAGGCTGATCTCACTTGATCCCGAGTCTATATCTATATAATATATATAAAGAAATCAAAAGAATCTAGATATTAATAGAAAAGATCAAAGCTAACAAGTAAGATAGATTTCTAAGAAAACCAATAAAATCAAAGTGTGGGTATGAATAAGAATTCAAGAAAACCCATAGATCAAAAGAAAAATAAGAACTCTGTTATGAAAAAGGGAAAAAATTACTATAAATTTGAAACAAGATACTATACTACCTACTTCCTAAAACCTATACATCAAATAGAAAAACAGAGATACAAAAACCCAATCAAAACCATTGTAAATTTGAAAGAATATGATACTAATCACTCCCTAAGAATCAAGAAAAATGAACAAAAACCACTACAGATTTGAAACAAAATGACCCTGTAAATCAAGAAAACCGATTATGAACAAAAACCCAACAAAAATTTGAAGCACGATGATACATTTACTCCATTAAAATACAAGATCGTAGATAAATTTCCAAGAAAACCGATAAAAGTTAGAGAGAAAGAGATGAGTTACCAATGGTGGGAGAAATATCTTGAGAAGGGTTTTGACAGTTGGATACGAAACTGAGAAGAAGACTGCTTTTACCAACACCTGAATCTCCAATGACCAAAATCTTGAAGGAATAATCGTAACTTGTTGGACTAATCTGTGATCTTCTTCCACCTCCTTTGATATCTCCATTCAGATATGGTGTTGCTGATGGAGATGATGATGAGCCCATTTGTTTATGTGTAATTCTTGCGTTAATTTATTATAAATCCCCAAATTGGATTCACAGAATTTGAATCCTATGATGGTTTTCTCTCTCTCTCTCTCTGTCTCTCTCTCTATCTCTATCTGTTTGTTTGTCTTTCTCTCTCTATAATGGAGACTTGGATGGGTGGGAGACATATGGAGAACGCTGTTGGGGGTGTTGGCGGGTGAAGGGTTTCATTTTTCAATTTTCAATTTTTATTTTTTATTTTTCAATTTTCTCCTTCAACTATTGGCTAATTCGTTTATGGCCCATTGACTATTGACGTATTTGCGGATCGAAGAGTGTTTTGGTATTTCTTTTCAAAAGAAGTCCAAAAATGAAAGAAAAACAGTCACATATATCGATTAAAAGTTATTAGTTTAATTTGTCTAATTTACTTTAAGTACTTGCTATATACACCTAATTATCTTTAATTTATTATTATAATTATTTTAAATACAAAGATAATAACTCAAAGCAACTGATAAATATTGAGAAATCATATGGTATTGTGATATTGTAACGCTCACGTAAAATCATAGATTTGGTTGCATGAAGTGTGATTTTCTTTAAAATTTTGTAACGATGAAACCATAGATTTGGTTATGTACAACCATAAATGTTGAAAGGGTAAGGGCTTATGTGTAAGAATTTATAGAGACAATTATTTGGTAACTATTTCAAAAAAAAAAAAAAAATTGGATATGACTCTATTTACGCTGGTCTCTTATGCTCCCTGACAAGTTATATAAACCAATCTATCAAGGTCAAGGACCCACACTAGTGGATCGGCGGCACGGACCATCATTTCGTTCATCCATCGTAGTATAACAAATTATAGGGTCGTGAAATGAGTGTTGTGTGTATCTATATATATTTTGAAACTATGTTAAAAACATAAGTTTCTTTTGATAGAGTTGGTTAACAAACATTTTCTTCTTATCCCATATGGATGTTTGAATCCCGTTTGTATCATTTAATTAGTTTTTTAGCTTTTGATTTCATAATCACTATGTTTTTTGTAAAAAACATCGCGATAAAATACTTGAACACAAGATATCACATATGAAAACCAGGAACTGATCAACTGACCAATGACGATTTTGTGAAAAATATCCATATCTTCGTTTCATGTAGTTAAATTGTACCAGCACTTGAAAAAGTTCATAAGTCCGCCTTTGTGTTAAGCGTCCTTCTAATTTAAATGAATGATGTTTTCTAATACGAATTCACTCATATTGGTATCTGTATCTCCTTCAAAATTAGTCATAATTTACATCACTTGCATCGAGTGTTTCAAAAGGCTCGACATGCCAACGGCCATGGCATACAACGGCTTAAGGATCGTCCCAGCACCAAGTTAAGCCTGTGGCATGCCATGGCCCGCCACAGGTTTTGTTACGCGTTGCTGGATTATTAATTTTTATTGTTTTAACGCCATACAATGTAATTTTTTGGTATGTAACATAATTTAATTTATTTAATATAATTGATTCATTGAATTATAATGGAAATGCATATATATTATTACAAATTTACTGTCATAAGTTACGCCATAAAAAGCTTATTGGCCTTGTCGTGGCTCTTAAAAATTGAGACTTGACCCAACCGTCACACTATGTCTCACGACTTAGGCACTGTTCGTTTAGCTATTAATAGTTCAGCATTTGAATCGCTAAGAGATAATCTTATTTGACAGAAAAAATATGTTTCTTAATGATTTAAAAACCCATAATGTATTTGTATCTTGGGTCTCCCTTAACCCTTCAACGCCATAATTTTATTCTGAATAATTATTAAACAATTATATTTTTATCTTAAATCATATCACTTAATCATTCTGCACTAAACCATCCAACACCTGTCAAATAATCATTTTACTCATCAGGGACCCCATCTTTCTTGCATGAGATATCTTTTCATATTCTTACCCCAAGTGGTAATTATTTCGTTTTCATGGTCAAAGAAACTAAAAAATATGAGGGACTAAAAATGCATTGAACCAATAGTTGGAGGACGAAACTGCAAGTTCAGCCATTTCAAGTTTTTAAGGTTTTTGAAATTTGTCTTTGACCCCTACAAAATATTAAAAGCTGATAGAGAAAGGGGTTTGGTGTGTAGTAGATAGGGGAGAAAGCACACATGGCTTGACACCATTGAGGATGGTGATGACGTGTCGGAACACGCGCCGGTTTGTAGATTGACGGGCCCCACTCAGGTAATACTCAGCCGTTTGCATACGCGCCATTTTCTTATCGTTTTGGCTTCTACTCATCTGTCAGTTTCGCCATTTTTTATGTTTCCGTTCCCGGAACGGCATTCTGCGGAAAATCCGAGATGGCGGCAGGATTCAATAAAAAATAGTGTTGCCGGAATGATTTGTTTGGTCAATTGATTCTTTGGGCAGTTTTGATCCGATCCCATCTTTTTTTTTTAATGAATTTATGGTGATGACCCATCGATTGTAATTCAAAATATCCAATCGCATATTAGTTTATTTTGATACTGGGTCTGAATAGTTGAAACGAATAAGTCTGGAAGTCATGTGAATGGCATCTGTTATTGGCTTCTTGCTTGAGTTTGTCATGCGAAAATGACATCTTTCTTGGATGTGCCCTCCTGGTGGTCGACGAAATGTCTACAAGAACTCTTTTGTCTTCACTTTCTCCTTAAAAGCCACTTCCACATGTCTCTCTAGGCTTTAACAACCTTTGTTTACCGGTATGGTTTCCTTTCATGTCCCAAACAGCTGACTGGCATTGAATTCAACTGTTCAAGGGTCACCTTCAGAGAATTATGTCATACGCAATGTGGTAGAGGTTGAACGGAAGAGTACATTTTGAAACTGAGAATCATCTTGAAGATTTGGGAGAAATCAGTTAAAGATTCCAAGCTCCCCAATCATTGTCCTCTTAATGAAGTAAGTTAAATGCTGCAATAGTCTTGAACATATTTTGATTGCTGCACATGGGAGCTTTAACATAACTTCCAAATATATTTGAAGAATATCATAATCACAATATTGTTGAGAACAAGAAAGAAGGATATTTTACCAAATTAGGTCTGAATTACAACCACAAATGCCCTGCATCCTTATCTATAATTGTTGCATAATTTATTCTCCTTCATTCCACTTTCAATCTTTTAGTGAGTTTTTCTAAGACGAGTCCGGGCTTGTTTGCTCTGCAACATGACCTCTCTTTTCATGGATAAAGTTCCCCAAACCGTCTATTTCCATTTTAGTTTTCATGTTATCTTTGTATGCTAGATGAAACCCACACTTCTCTACCTTCAAACCATTGGTCCCTCCAACGTAAACCTCAATCACGATATGAGAAGGGAGGATACATTCATGCTTAAAGCAAACTATCAACATGAGTAACCAGAACACTATGAAACAATATTTAAGACGGAAACATCAAATATGATAAGTGTCTGCAACTAACCTCTTAGATAGGACATTCTCAATCCCATACTCCTACATTTCCCCTTAATACCTGCCGTGAAAAAACCTTTGTGCTTGGATACTATATATAACAAAACAAATAATTGAACATAACACCAAAAATAACACATACAAATTTGTGCGACAATATACTATGAACTCTGAACATGGGATACAAAATTCTTAAGTGCACACAAAAGTTAGAGCGATTGTATAGCACATACAACACCCAAATCAGACTACCAACATATGAAGGAGTCGAAACTAAATCTTAAAAGCTTAAACAAAAGAATTCCTATTAGGAAAATTTACGTCATTTGATTATCTATCCCCCTCTCTCCAAGATCGTGTGTTCATCCCATGATTTTGGGGGCATTGATGATCTTGTCATTTTTCTTCCCATTCACGTTGAAGAATCCGTATCAACATTGGCTGCTTAAGGTTCAAATGATGAAGAGCACAAAATCCCAAAAATCAAAATCAAACGCAACGTATTTCACATTGATTCTATTTTTGACAACCAATTTCAGGGTTTTAATGTGAACTTACATTTACATTTATGAAAAGGCGAAAAGAGTTTAAAAGAAAACATCATTTAGCAGGTTTGTCAACACAGCATATGATCCTGCAGAGATTAAAGAAGAAGAAATTGTGAAAAAAATGGTTGAAACACAATCATCAAGTGTTCAGGTGAAGAAAAACGAGAATATTCTTCACAAAGGCAGTAAAGAAATTTTGACTGGAGAAGATAGTGAAGGTATATCGATAAATATGCTTCAATGTCATGTGAAATATGCAAAAAAAAATTAGGGTTGTTTCACATGTCAAAAATCACATGGTTATATTGAAGCAAACCCTTGACAAAAAATTAGTGTTGTTTCACATGTTTTTCATCGTAGTGTTGGCTCACATTGGAACAACACACTTTTTTATGTTTTACCATGTAGAGTTGTTTAACAATGTGAAACAACATAATGTGTGTCTGATGTATACAGTTTGAAACAACACATTATTTATGATGTTTCTACAATGTATTGCTCACAATGTAGTTTCTGCTGTTGTGCAATACATTGTTGATTAATTACATGTAAAATAAAATAGGGCTTCACATGGTTATTTACCATCACTCAAAACACAATTGAATATAAATTTTGATTTCCGTTAAATAAAAATAAACATTTATGCAACAGGAAATGCAGGAGGGGAGAAAAAGCAACATAAGCGGAAACAAGACGGAACGAAAGGGGGTACGGGTATGACCTTATAATGATGATCAATTATATGTTTTACACATTCATGTGAAACAAAACAAGGTTTTACATATTTTATAATGTAGTGGTATTTAGTAATGCGAAACAACACATAGTTTCACATGTTTTATAATGCATTGTTATTTCACATCAAAACAACAGAGTGTTTCGCAGTGCGAAACAATATTGTATTATTAAACATCAGACACATTGTGTTGTTTCACTTGTGAAACAACTTAGGGTAATGCAGTGCTATTTTACGTGTGAAACAACAGACTTTTTCATTTGTTTTTCAATATTCTACTATGTGGCTTAATCGCTACACAATGTAGTTTCTCATGGGAAACACACTAGAAAAAGTTTCTCATATATGAAACATAAAAGTTTCACAAAAAAACAGTATTAAAGTTGATTTTAGAATTAAGCAACTGTATTGCAGACAAGGTGGTACATGAGGAAAAACAAAGAAAAAGAAGACAGAACAGTGCAACGAATGATAAAAAGGAACTCAAGTTGAAAAGCACTCCCACCGCCACTGATAGTGATTTCGAGACGCCAATTAAGAAGATAGAGGTAGATGTTGCACTGTTGAAGGCAATAGAAATTGCTACCGATTTGGAGAAAAAGAGTGAGAAGAAGGTAGCGAAGAAGTATAATACAATAAGGACAAGGACATCTCCAAATGCCTTGTACCAGGCGTTGCAATCATTAAACAACGCTCAAAGACAGGCTATTATAAGCATGGGTTTTGGTGAACTGCTGAACATGAAGGCAGATGGAATCCCTTCGAAATTGGGATTCTATGTTGTTGACAATTTAGACACTAAAAAGATGGAGATAAAGGTGAGTCATGGGGCAATAAAGATTACTACCGAGGCCATTCATGAAATTCTAGGAGTACCTATTGGTGGTGTAGACCTAAAATCCATTGAATCTGCAACAATGGAAGCCGACATCACCAAAAGATGGAGGCAACAGTTTGACAAAGTAAAGGTTCGTCCTGCAGACATCATGAAGGAGATTGAGCGTTCAAAAGTTGCGGATTTTAATTTCAGAATAAACTTTATAACCCTTTTTGTTAATACAATGGCAGATTGCAACAGAATGGGTTGTTGCAATCTTGGCTTCCTTTCACACATTCATGATGATGCAATCTTAGACAAAATAGATTGGTGCAAATTTATTTTCGATTGTGTGAAAACAAGCAAAGTGGGTTGGAAGAGAGACAGCAGTTTAAGCTTCTATGCAGGTCCACTCACCTTTTTGACGGTATGCTTTTTGGATACATTTTTAACAGATTAAATCCAACATTGGAGTCAATGACTGCCGAATGTAAAATTGATATTGTATTTTTTACTTTTGTATGCAGTTGTTGTATGTAGATGCCACTAGATGTAAAAAGGTAAATATCGTTAGGGAACGGCCAGCCATAAAGTCATGGAATATGAGTCTTTTAAGAAGGAGAGAGGCTGCAGAGATCGATGAAGGGGGTTTTGGACTTGGGGTTTTGGTTGGGCCTTTTCAGGACCCAAACTCAAGTAAATTTGAAACTACAAATGTTGTTGGTGCTGAGGGTGATGAAACATTAATGAATAAAGCTGCTGAAGGATCTAGTCAATCACAGGAGAGCATACGAGAGGTAATTTATTGTACAGTGTTGTTTTAAAATGTAGTGTTGTTTCATATGTGAAACACAATGTATTGTTTCATAAACAATGTGTTTTGAACACTACATTATGAAACATCATAACTGTTGTGTTGTTACACACTCAGTGTGAAACAAACAACAAAATTTTAAAAACATCAGAAACACTACGTTGTTTCACAGCGTGAAACATCCGAAACAATGTTACACTACATGGTGAAACATTATAAATACTGTTTCACAGTTTGTAACAATGCTACATTGTAAAAACATCATAAACACTATGTTTTTTCAGTGTGAAACAATGCTACATTATTTGACATTCGAAATGTTGTTGTTTGACGGTGTGAAACAACACTATATTGTAACACATCATGAACATTGTGTTGTTTCCGTTGTGTAACAACACCATAATGTAAATCATCACATAAACCAATTCAGACATTGTGTTGTTTCACATGAAGATTCTTACATTGTTTTGCTAAATTTATACTAGAACATTGTTTCACATGCAGGGTTATATACTTAAACTTCATGAGATAATAACACGGTGGATAGCAGAGAAGAGCATCGTGGAAGCAACGCTAGAGGAGGCAATGTCAAAGTTTCCACATGATGAGAAGTTTATCAAGTATAGAGATCAACTTGACAATCTGTTCAAGGGGCGATCCGATGACAAAGAAGAGAATCCCACTGGTTCATGTAATGGTCAACTAGATTCTAATGATGAATTATTCGATGTTAAGGTCAGGGTTGATGATGTTTGTGAGGAGGGGGACCAACGTGATCCTGTTTCTCCAACAACAGGTCAAGGAATCGAAATTGTTCCCCACAATGAGTACGTCGATAAATTTTCTGATGTATTGGAAGATTTTTGTGGAATGGAAGAGTACACCCTGAAGCTGAAGACAGAGGCTCCTGGACATATTTGGAAAGCAAATGGCCAGGTACATAATTTTGAAGATTAGGAGTATATCAGTTGAAGATTTCAGTCATAATGAAGTAGGTTAAATGCTGCAATCTTCTTGAACATATTTTGACCAGTGCACGTGTGAGCTTCAACAGAAGTTCAATGTATTCAAATAATATGATACTAACAATATTCCTGAATACAAGAAAGAAGAAACTTTTACCAATTATGTCTGAATTACAAGTTTACAACCACAAATGTCTAGCAATGTCATATTTATTATTGTTGCATAATATATTTCTTCACTCCAGCTTCAATCTTTTAGAGAGTTTGTTTTCGTTAGATGACTTATTGCTTGTTTGCACTGCAACATGACCTCTCTTCTGAGGAATAAAGTCCACCAAGATTTTGCTTTCAGTTTCCATCATTGATTGTGAGTGCTGTTTGTATGCCAGATGAATCCCACACTTCTCTACCTTCAAATCTTCATCCCCTCCAGCATAAACCTCAATTTTGTCCCCACATCTTATTGGGTATGGTTGTGGCCCGTTGCTCACCCAGGAATTCACTTCAAAGGTCCTGAAAAAGTTTGCCTCATAGGTCCATTCTGTATCATTTGTCTTGTTCTTGATGATAACTTGAAGTGTCACATCGTGCTTACCCTCGTTTACATAATCAACCCAATAAGTCATTTCTAAGTAATCTGGTTCAATACCTGATGGCACATCAAAAGAGATAAAAGACCCAACTCTTTGATGATTAAACCACCCTGGAATACCCCGCCTTGAAAGAAAAATGCTACAATTGACAGCTTGTTCTGAGTATCCCTGAACAAAGTAAATAATCTAAATCACATAACCACATATAGTGATAAGAGAAATTAGTGTTTATAACAGAGGAAGGTTCTAATGAGAACCATGAGAACCTCTATATTCATTGATGCATATAGACTATATGAATTTCATTGAGTATATGCACCAATGCATATATACTTGTTTATGTAGTACATATATATTGATGAATATATTAATTGGCACTGGCAGATACATATTTGCTAGTGTGCATCAATGCATATATATATGTGTGCATATACAGGTTCTCACGGGTCTCAAGATATTTATGGTTCTCATTTAAACTTTCCCATATATATATAGAGAGAGAGAGAGAGACCTGAAATAAGCTTTCTTCGAAAGTAGTGTTGAGATTAGTGCAGCCTTCCAAATAAATCTCCTTTATGGTATTGGTGTTTTGTAGACCTTGTATGACAACCAAGCTGCTGCAGTTACTTAAATCCAAACACTCCAAGTGTTTCAAGTTGGATAGATTTGGGAGTCCTTCCAACAAAGGGCAGTTGCTTGCATCTAGCGTCCGTAGATTAGGAGGAAATTCCATGATTGATTGAAGGAACTTGCAATCGTTCAACCAAAGGTGTTGTAGACCGCACAGTTGACTAAGGCTTGAAGGAAGGCTAACAAAATTATTTCCGTTCAGGTGCAAATATCGGAGTGATGATAATTGAGAAAGATCATACGGAATATCAGTATCAGACAGATCTCTGTCACTAAGATCCATGTCTTTTATTGAACTCAAAGTAGAAACAGTGGGTGGAAGAAACTTGATCGCTGTTGGAGTTTGTGAAAATATTTGAAATGGGAAGAATGAAAACCAAGGTTTAGCTTTCATATCTCTTTTATTACTCTGCGCTAAAGAAACTTGTTTAAGTTTCTTTAGAAGTCCGATTGAATCAGGTAATTGTGTGATTGCAGTTCCAGTAGCATAAAGCTCCTGTAAAGATTCTATCTTCCCCACTTCTTCAGGTAATTTCTCTAAATTTGAGCATTCATCAAGATATAACCGTTCAAGTAAACTTAGACCACAAATGCTTTTTGGAAGACTTTTTAGGTTCTCACAGTGTCCCAAATTCAACTCGGTCAACTTGCCCAGATGCCCAATTGATGGGTCAAGCTCTATCAAACCCGAACAAAATCTAAGTGACAATTCATCAAGTTTTGGTACTCCACTGAAGTCTGGGGTAGTTCTTAGGAATTTTGAGTTGCTAAGATTTAGGCTCTTCAAGTTTGTTAGAAACTGCCAAAAAACAGTAGCAAACATGATGAAAAGGGAAAATAAAATGGTAAGAAGTTATTT